TCGGGTCAGGAAGCAATTTTTCTCCAGGCCAGTTTGGCTGGAGATCCTGGAGATTTTTTGTCATCTTCTGGGTGTGGAACAGCGGGGTCACTGGGGGTATGGAGGGGGAGGTATTTGTGAATTCCCTACATTGTGCAGGGGGTTGGACTAGATGACCCTGGAGGTCCCTTCCAACTCTATGATTCTGTGATTCTATAAGAGTCAATTGCTCATTTTGCATTGTGGTTCTTTGGCTTTCCACTGTGTATTTTCTTTCAATGTGGTGATGGGAGCATGTCTAGAAAGCCACCAAATGTAGCCAAATGTCAGCTGAATCGTATTTTTTCCTGAACTCAGCATTGCTTCAAGATGGATTTTACACGCTAGCAGGAGAATATGTGGCCTGATCGTGTAGCGTTAGGTGCACCTAAGCCCACTAAAACCCAGCAGGCGGAAGACTGCTGAACTCTGCTTAGGGTCTCAAGCTAAGAGCAAGAATGCAAGTTAGTTTCTCTTCCTTTTTTATGCTTCTGTTAGCTCAGTGTGGTTGGGGGTTGGAGGAACTTGCCTTTGTTCCTTGTGGGGGAGGTCCATGAGCTGTCCTCACATGAGGAGGAGCCCACCCACGTTACCCACAAGTGTGAACAGAGGAAATGCAACAAAGTGCTGTGCAATCCCCCTCCCAGACAACTGTTATTTTTGCATTCATATTTATTAATGTATATCCTGACTTCAGGGTATCGGAAGCCTCAAGGGAGCTCACTGGTAAAATAAAATAACAATAGAGCTCTCTCTTCCTGTACAAGTGAAGCATTTTATCAGAGCTGTTAATAGCACCTGACTCAAACATTATGGTGTGTTGTCTTGTCTTGTCTGGGGAACATTATCTGCTGGTACCCACAAACTGGATTCCCTAGGGCAGTGGTGGCGATCCTACGACACGGGCGCCAGAGGTGGCACTCGGAGCCCTCTCTGTGGGCACGCGTGCCATCGCCCCAGCCAGGCCCAGACCATCATTAAAGTGTCAAATTCTCTGCCAAATAATTTAAAGAAACTGAAAGCCTTTGGGATTGCTTTCCTTACTTTGTTTGGATCATCTTAAGTTAATGTATGGGTTGTTTTTTCTAAAGTAAAACCTCAGTATTCAGGTTAAATTGCCGCGTTGGCACTTTGCGATAAATAAGTGGGTTTCGGGTCGCAGTTTGGGCACGCGGTCTCTAAAAGGTTCGCCATCCCTGCCCTAGGGGATGCTTGTAGGTTATGTTTTTAGTAGAGAAGCCTACAGCAGTCTTCAGACAAAGGAGATGGTTTTTATTGTTCCCAGTCTAGGACAGAATTTGTGAAAAATTAATGGGTCAACCCTTTGTCCAGAGCTGTGGCTGGTGTTAGTGGCTGTCCAGAGCAGAGAAAACTCCAACAACCATGATCCTTGAGCCCTTGGTGTGTGTGTGTGTGTGTGTGTGTGTGTATGTGTTATGTGCTCAACAGGTCGGATCTGGCTACCAGGGAATAGTAAGTAAACTGTTGTAGGTCACAGAGAGCCCTGGCCTGTGTGGCCCAGACTGTCAGATCTCAGAAGCTAAGCAGGGTCAGCTCCCGTTAGGACTTGGACGGGAGAGCGCCCGGGAAGTCCAGGGTTGCTACGCAGAGGCGGGCGACGGCAAAGCACCCCTGAACACCTCTTGCTCTTGAAAAACCCACATGGGGTCGCTGCAACTTGGTGGTACTTTCCACCGCCTCCACACTGCCGATGAGAGAGGCTGAGGCGTGCTTTCTCTCTCTCTGCCATGCTTTCCAGATCAAGTGACACACACAACCATGGCTGCTTTGGAGTTAGAAAGGGGGGAAAAACACGTCTTGGATTTCCCACATCAAGTCTGGCTTTGTCCCCAACGCGTTGACATCCACAGACTTCAGCTTGCGTGGGATCGCTGCCTCAAACAGGCTCTCTGTGGGCTTCCAGGCAAGCCACAAGCCCTTTGCCTGAACTGAGGCCCCCTAAGCATGCATGTCGATCTCCTCCAAAGTGTAGTTTTCCGGAAGAAGACAAGCTGGGAGGCATTGATAAGATGTTTATTAATGACTGCAGGGAGTAAATCAGCACTGCCAGTGGCTTTGTTATGTGTTCCGGTTGACAGAAGGTCAAAAGTAGTCCTACCCCATCCACTGCTGAGCTGTTGTCCAGCCCCAGGAGTGCCTAGAAGTGTGTGCCGAATGTGGCCTGCTAATTGCAACTTGGGAGGAGGAGTACGCAGAAGGAAGCTTGTGCAGCTGGGCTGTCTGATTTGTGTTAAATTTCTCTGGTCTCAGCGGCATGTCCCAAAATCATTTCATGGACATTGTGTGTGTACAGGGATTAGCCCACCCAGGCCAGTCCAGGAATGGGAGGGAATCCTGAACTTTTCAGTACATTAAACAACAAACCACGAGATGGTCTATACCCTCTCTGGTTTCCAAACAATTTGCCACCAGAACCTCTTTTCACTAGTCCCTGCCTTTCCTAAGGGAGAGATTCCAGCCCTTAGTTAGCATCTGGGATTTAACACAGTAGCAACTCTATCCAGAGATGTACACTCTTACCAAGGTAGCATATGTGGTCAGGGTTAGGCACCAGGCTTAGACTTGGAATTCAGTTACAACATCAAAGACAAATTAGCAATAAGAAGGATCTTTATTCAGTACAGAGTTTAGCATAGGCTACCTGAGATTACAAAAATAACAAAAGGCTAGGGCAATTTGCCTTAACCACACATTGAAGATACATAGTTACCACATCAGGAACATCCACAGTCCAGAATAGTCCAAGGGATTTTGAATGGAAATCCCATTTTTGCACACCATGTGCTCCAAGTTACAAAGCAACTCTTTGTCTCTCAAGAGGCAGCATTTCAGGTGCAATAAAACAGACAATGACAGGAGACAGAGACTCAAGAACAGGAAGAAGAAAAAAGCTCACTCCTATAGGGATCAAACAATTATACCCCAATTCCAGTCACAAATTAGATGTGACCATCAGCCAATTGCGAGTGGGCATGGGTGTGCCCAATTGTTGGTTGTCATAGCAGCATGTGGGGATAAGCTATAAGTTTGGGACCCCGCCTGCAGTCATCTGACCCAAACTCCAGCTACTTCATTGTGTACGTGACTGGTTGCAAGTGGGCCAGAAAGTGTAGCCATGAGGTCTGGTGTTTGGCATGAAAGTGTGAAAGAATGTGGGTTTATGGCATGGCTATTGAGGCCATGTGGCCTCACCATTTGGCTTGCAACAGGAAACAAGACACAGCATGTTATCAAAAGACATCACAGGAGAAGGCATGTGAATATAGAAGCAATATTTCTATACAGTGTGCCTCTGTGAGTTTACCCAGAAGTAAGCCTTGCTGAGACCAGTGGGACTTATTGGGTGGGGGGGGGGATACACCCATTGGATTGCAGCCTGAGTTATTTTGCAGTACCGCCTCTGTGATTCAAACCGTGCAATCCTAAGCAAAGTTAAACTAGTCTGAGGCCTCTGGTTTCAATGGCTTTAGAAGGGCATAATCCTGTTTAGCCCACACCTGGATGGCCCAGGCTAGCTTGATCGCGTCACATCTCAGAAGCGAAGCAGGGTTGGTGCTGGTCCGTACCTGACTGGCAGACCACTAAGGAAGCCCAGGGTCACTGGGCAGAGGACAGCGATGGCAAAGCGCCTCCGGATGTCCCTGGCCTCAGAAACCGCAGGGGGGGGGGTCGCTGCAAGCCGGCTGCGACTCGAGGGCACTTTCCACCGCTAATCCTGTCTAGAATGATCTCATAAACTTATTAAGACTGGCAAAGAAATAATTCATTGTGTGCAGAAATGAGGAAATGAAATCGCTTCCTGCTTTTGCAAGACTGATCTCATCCCTGTTGGTCAAATGTTTGCCTTAGCAATTGTCTAATAACAGAATCTGTACTGGCAAAAGCAGAGGCTCAGATGTTTCTGTTGGAAACTGTGGGTTCTTTACAGGACAGTTGCTTGGAATAATCACATCAGAGTGGTCTCAATGCTTTCTAAAGTAATCTACAACAATAATTTGAGCAGATTTGTGAGTTTTCTGTATCTGTGATTTACCCCTTCTTTGCAGACCCGCAAAGGATTGCCATATTTATTTGTACCTGGAGTTAAACATGCAGGTAGAATGGAGCTAATTCAGAAGGCCTTTTTTGTTTGTTTACTTATTTACTGCATTTATAGCCTGCCTTTCTCACGGGAGGGGCAACCCCAGTCCGGTCTGCTCAGAACAGCCCTCCCCTGGTTCAGTGGGGCTTTAAGAGTTCTTGGTCCTGCAGCCTGTGACTGAAGGTGGATGACGCAGCGTGAGACAATGCAGTCCAGCAGCCTGGCATATCTGATAGGCAATGAAGTGGGATGACAGATCCGAAAAGAGTGCACCCTGCTTTCAGGCGTGATATGTCATGCAGTGCAGAAAAGGGGGTATCAAAAGGAGACAGCCATATACAGTAAGAGCAGGATAACGTATTCAGATAATTTGTACTATCAACAATGCTCTTCACCGTATAAAAGAGATAATGTTGCCAATGTTCCCTCTAAGCTGTGGAGTCTTGTGAGCAAATATTCTTCTTTGTGACCTGCTGGCATTAAAGTTGTGAGCGAGCGATTTGGCTGCTGCATAAATTAGTGTGCTCTGGAGCCATCCTTCCTGAGCGGAGACAAAAATGTGTGAGCCGGAGGCTAAGAGACTGTGAGCTAGCTCACACTTACTCAGCTTAGAGGGAACACTGAATGTTGCAGAGAACATATTTAGTGACAAAACTCAGTGTTATGTAGTGAAAGCTGGTTGCTTATTTTTGTTCTCCTATTATTGTATTATTGTTGCATTTGTTGAAATGATGAATAAAAAACGTTTAAAACAGTGCTCTTAGGCTACAGTCCCATTAGCTTTATAAAAGAGCCCTTCTCAACCATTTGATTATACTGTAGCCCTTTTACCTTTATAAAAATGCTCTCCCAAACCGTTCTGTTTTACGTCGTTTGTGGAATGGCAGAAGCCTTCCTGAGCGCCTCAGGCAGGCCGCTCCACAAGGTGGGGGCCACCACAGAGAAGGCCACGGGTACGGGACAACCTTGCCCATTTGCAGGGTGGCACTCCAACGGGCGGAGCTGTTGCGCCAGAGCATACCGGGGGGGGGGGGGCTGCAGAACTAGCTGGCTTCTGGGACAGTGTGAGGACCAGATGATGGCTGCGCTGAAATAAAACACATTTCCTCTGGGTTGACTGCTAAAATACATAGTGGATTCTACAAGCCCTGCCCTGCAAAGGAGAGGCTACTGGTTTTAGTTGCAGTGTGTCAGTGACAATATTGAGGTCATTTGTATTTAAGCAACCCAGAGGAACCCAGGGTGGCATCACAGTGTGGCAACAGAAGGCAAACAGTGCAGAAATGATCAGACATATGAATCCGTGCAAGGTGGGTGCTGCCAAGAGGTATTACTTTTACCTGGTCTCATTTCTGCAGCGCTTGGTTGTATGATGGGCGTGAATAAGTGGCGGTCGGGAGCCCTAGGCACTGTTGTAAAATGTGGCAATACGAATGGTGCAGTTCAAAATTCTGTTTCTAAAACCCATCTGCCTTGTTTCGCTTCTGCGCAGAAGAGCACCCCAGTGCCCGCGACGTGCTGATTCTGTACGGGAAAGATGCCAGCGAATGGTGTCAGTATCTTCAGAGCCTCTTCCATTCATGCAAAGACATCTGGAGCTATCTTGTGGAGAGTGGGACTCCTATTCCCCCTGAGAAGGTGGACGACTTCAAGAGCAGCCGGTGTGTTGTCGTTTTGCTCTCCTGCGAGCTGGTACAGACCTTCCAGACCCCCGCTGTCCTCCAGAGCCTGCAGGAGGTTCTCCAGCCACCTCATAAAGTCGTAAAACTGTTCTGTGGCGTGGCAGAATGGGAGGATTACCAGGAGTTCTTCAAAGACTGGTCTCAGTGGAAACACTTGACATACGACGATGATCCCGAAACCTACATCAAAGCTGTCATGAAGGCAATTTCGGAAGGAGGTAAGCTGGCCCCGTCTTTTAACTGCCTGTGGAGTGAAAAACGGGGGACTGTTCCAGCGGTTC